ATTTTGTAGGTGTTTCCTTGTCCTGGTGCTTCAGGGCCTTCAACAGTGTTATAGGTAGTCAGGAAATTAAAGGTGTAATTTATACTCCTAGAAAACATGATGGTACTCCTTGGATGTTGGGCCTCTGTATGTGGCCAGGCTGTGGAAAAGTCTTACACATGTGGTATCCCCATGCTCAGGAGGAGTAACAGGATGTGTTTTGGGGTGTAGTTCCAAGTATGCAAATGCCATGTGAGAAAAAAAACTTTTAATACGACAATTTTTGTGGAAAAAAACAAATTTTATTTACTTTAATTTCCCAAGTAATTGTGGGAAAAGATTACAGCTTCAAAAACTTCACCATGCCTCGTACAAAATATCTTGGAATGTCTACTTTCCTAAAAGGGGTAATTTGGGGGGTATTTGTACTGTCCTGGCTTGTTATGCCCTGGTCTCATCAAGCCCAACTTTGAAATCATACGACTTACAGTGAAGTCGTCGCCGATTTCAGTGCGATTTGCAAGACATCTGACACAGATGCAAATTGCACCAAAAGTAGTGCATGTACTACTTTAGAAATCGGTGCGGCTATGACCAAGTTGGAACTGCACTGATATGACCGCTGTAATTGCGTACAATAGGGTGCGACTTGGCATATGATTTGCAAGTCACATGTCATGCAAATTGCATGTCAAGTCACATCCGATGTGACCGGGGTGTAAATGTCTCAAGAAATGAGATCTTCCATCAGTACATCAGATGTGATGAATTTCCATTGATTGGTACCATGGCTTGTAGACTCTAAAACTTTCACACAGAACAAATAATATACACTGATTTGGGTTATTCTACCAAAGAAAATGTATGATGAACAATGACCTTATTTCCAACATTTTAGAACAGAAACAAAGAAAATGCATTTTTTTCAAACTTTTTGGTCTTTTTTAATCTTTTTTAATTTATAGCACAAAAAATAAAAAAAAACCCAGTGCTGATTAAACACACCACCAAAGAAAGCTCTATACTTGTGAAAAAAAGACAAAAATGTCATGTGGGTACAGTGTTGCATGACTGAGTAATTACCATTCAAAGTGTGAGAGCGCTGAAAGCTGAAAATAGTTCTGGGCAGGAAGGGGGTGATAGTGCCCGGTATTGAGGTGCTAAAGAAATATTCTGCCCCAAATCCTATTGATAAAAATGCAGTAAATCCCAGACGTTTTAAGAATTGCCATTTGAGAAATGCATCTCTGTGTGACCCTCTGTGGTGTTTCTATTAATAACATACTGCACAATATACATCATCTCTCTGGGCTGTTTGGTTGGTTTGTTGTTTTAGGAGACCATTGTGTCCTGGGGCTGGAATATTGAGGAACACTGAGGAGTGTAAACAGTGTAAACGTAGAGCATCATCCATTCTAGATGTTTAGGAGACCATTGTGTCCTGGGGCTGGAATATTGAGGAACACTGAGGAGTTAAACGGAGAGCATCACCATTCTAGATGTTTAGGAGACCATTGTGTCCTGGGGCTGGAATATTGAGGAACACTGAGGAGTGTAAACGGAGATGCAGCATCAGCCATTCTAGATGTTTAGGAGACCATTACGTCCTGGGGCTGGAATATTGAGGAACACTGAGGAGTGTAAACGGAAATAATGGCATCAGACATTCTAGATGTTTAGGAGACCATTGCGTCCTGGGGCTGGAATATTGAGGAACACTGAGGAGTGTAAATGGAGATGCATGCATCACCCATTCTAGATGTTTAGGAGACCATTGTGTCCTGGGGCTGGAATATTGAGGAACACTGAGGAGTGTGTAAATAGATGCAGCATCAGCCATTCTAGATGTTTAGGAGACCATTGCATCCTGGGGCTGGAATATTGAGGAACACTGAGGAGTGTAAATGGAGATGCGGCATCACCCATTGCGTTCTAGATTGTTTACGGAGACCATTGCTAGATGTTTCCTGCGTCCTGGGGCTGGAATATTGAGGAACACTGAGGAGTGTAAACGGAGAGACGCCATTCTAGATGGCATCAGTCCTGGGGCTAGAATTCTGAGGAGATGTTTAGGAGACCATTGCGTCCTGGGGCTGGAATATCGAGGAACACTGAGGAGTGTAAACGGAGACGCGGCATCAGCCATTCTAGATGTTTAGGAGACCATTGCGTCCTGGGGCTGGAATATCGAGGAACACTGAGGATTGTAAACAGAGATGCATCAGCGAATCTAGATACGTTTGTATCTTGGCTGTCTGGTGAGGACATAAAAGGTGGAGGAGTTTTCACACTGCTGGGGCCGGAGTGCCGTGTTTTCTTTACACCCGGGGACTTTTCTGCACATGCTTTGGAGAAGATGGAGAGGTGAATATTGGACATGGAATTGCACACTCGCACTTTAGGATTTGTGGCTTCATATCGATTTGCTTTTTGCTGATATCTGCACATTCTAGTATTTGTTGTTCTATGAACAGAGAAATCCAACCCTGAAGCCCTTTCTGGTTGGTTTCTTTCAGCATTCACCTGTTCGGATGGATTGATGTCCATTGATTCCTTCCTTCTGTGTGTGTCATTGAACACTTTGAGTGCTGCGCTATGACGTCTTTATCTGCTTTGTTGGGAGGTTGGCGTGTCCCCTTCGTGTTCTAGCTGCTACTTCCTCTCAGCGCTCACTTCTACCATTTCACCTGTTTTTGGAACACTGTATCCCAGACCTGGACAGATTGCAATCTCGGGGCCACATCTGGCCCTCTGGCTGTCCCTATCGGCCCTCCATGCCTCCACGGTCCCCATACCTCCTCAATGAGGAAGCTGAGCGGCTCAGAGAGGCCCGCTGACACATGTCCATATGAAGAGCTGCAAGAACTGGAAGGAGGAAGCCGGAGGAGCTGATGGCTGCACAGAGGAGAGGCTCAGTTCTGGTGGGAGAACATTGCCTAGGAGACGTCCCAACGCTCTCCCACCACTCTGCTACCCAGCCAAGTCCTTCCTGTGTTAGCGCCTCTACTCTGCAAACCCCGGGAGATGTTCCCCTGTCCTTCACTCCAGGCCAGGACCCCCAGAAATCCCAACTGTACCCATCTCAGGCTCTCTCCTTCCAGTCACAGGGCTTTTCAGAGGACATCAGACAGGGAATGAGGACGTATTATTACCACCCCCACCACCTAATTTCACCCTACAATGACACACTACCACATTGTAATTGTGTGCATTGTATGTAGTGGTGGTGTGGCCCCATTGAGCCCAGTGGGGGAGCTTGACAAAAGGTGCTGCTTGTCAGACTCTGCACCCTGAGTTAATAATGCTGCAGACACGGCCTGTTAATAGCCCCATCCAGCTTCTATTTTACAGTTCGAGGGCAAAAAAACTGTGGCTCAACCGTCCATTTTTACCAAAAACCCCATCTGAAAGAGACCAATTTCACAAGCAGTGGTGCCTATTATTCCCAGTGCCAGTGTGTTTGTTTTCTATGTTTACATACTTGCAGACCTTCCCGGGTCCAAAATGACTATTCAGCAGAATTCAGTTTGTCCTCCACAACCGTCCCAGATTGTGGCCTCTTGGGAGAATGAATGACCCAACCCTGCTCTAAACAGGAGAGCTCCCCCTAGCTGCAGCCTGGGAATGACATTACTAGGAGGTCTCTTCATTCAGCTGCTACATACTTCCCCTCCTTCAATCAAAGTCTCCTGACATTTAGGGGTCTCTTCATCAAAGCTTTGCCCTGCAATCCCCCCGGTGATGGCCGTGTACGTTCCGTCTCTGGGAATGGGGGGCCACAAACAAATGCTATTAGGCTGTTTGCTGAGCTGCTCAAATCATTTATAACGACAAGAAATAATTCCTGAGGAATAACGACTTCCAGCTTCTAGATGACGAATTCCTATGATATTTAATGTCATCACTGAATGAATACAATACCACCGATATTCATCACAGCTGGGCCAGCACCGCTCACATCTGTCCAATACATTGTTTACAAATCACACCTCCAAGTGTTTGTTAAAATCTCCCACCACAAAATGTACTCAGCCAATCACAGATTAGGACTCCATTTTTATTCTTCTCCTGCTATCAATGGCCAACCCGGTCCCCACACTTCATCCATGTCTTTGGGGGCCTCTGATCTCCTTATGAACTGTTTCTTCCATGATGAAGATCAGCCATGGAGTATATCTGAGGAGTATATCAGGGTGTGTGCTTCTTCCCCACATGAGAGCTGGGTTGTCCAGCAACATTCATCTAGAAGACATTTCCCGCACTCAAGGCGCTAATACACCTCCAGGGTTGTGTGGGACCCCTGACGTACAGGAAGACAGGACTTCAGTGAGGAACATTTCCCACGCTTAGGACACAAAATACAGCTTCCCTCACTCAGGACAGGAAAGTGTCTTCACCCCCATGTCAGATCTCTGATGTGTGTCAAGTTGGGATGTCTGTGAAAAACATTTCCTGTACTTAGGACAAGAATACGGCTTCGCCCCTGTGTGAGATCTCTGATGTTTGTAAAGGCTGGACTTCCGTGAAAAAACATTTCCCACACCGAGGACAGGAATACGGCTTTTCCCCCGTGTGAGATCTCTGATGTGAGTAAAGACAAGACTTCACTGAAAAACATTTCCCGCACTCAGGACAGGAATACGGCTTCTCCCCTGTGTGAGATCTCTGATGTGTGTAAAGACTGGACTTCACTGAAAAACATTTCCCACACTCAGTACAGGAATACGGCTTCTCACCCAAGTGAGATCTCTGATGTTTGTAAAGATTGGACTTCACTGAAAAACATTTCCCACACTCGGGACAGGAATACGGCTTCTCCCCTGTGTGAGATCTCTGATGTGTGTACAGTCTGGACTTGTTTGAAAAACATTTCCCACACTCAGAACATGTATATGGTTTCTCCCCCCTGTGAGATCTCTGATGCCTGTAAAGGCTGGATTTCTCTGAAAAACATTTCCCGCACACTCAGTACAGAATATGGCTTCTCCCCCGTGTGAGATCTCTGATGGCTGTAAAAACTGGACTTGTCTGAAAAGCATTTCCCGCACTCAGGACAGGAATATGGCTTCTCCCCTGTGTGAGTTCTTTTATGCACATTAAGTTTGGTTTTAGAATGGAAACATTTCCCGCACTCAGTACAGACGAACCTTTTCTCTATTGGAATGACAGCCCAGTCCCGCACAGTCTGAGGTTCCTCAAGATACGAGGATTTTGATGGTCCAGCTTCACTGTGTGGTGCTGGATGGACGTTGGAGGGAGCCGGGTTTTTCTCCTGGACTATACTGTGAGATGTCCTCATCTTCTACTTTCCAGTCTGGAGACAAAGTGAGACAATCCTCGGAGGTTTTCCTCATCTCTCCGGCCATGGACTAAAATACAAAGACAAAGAGGATTACTAGACAGGAGCTGATTGGTTCCCCCAAACCAGGACTCCGCCCACATCAGGCGGCTTGATCTCTGAGGAGCTTACAATTCCACCCTCAAGGGAACTAGGAAATGGTTCCTCTGATCTCCTACCAAGTCATTTTTCTTTATTCATGGACCTTAGTCAGAGAGTGAGGGAAACAACCAGAACTGTCTTTTATAGGAGGGACAGTGATGAGGGGATTATAGGACGAGGGTCCCCACCCCCTCTATCACTCATCACCATCTTCCCAACACAAGAAGTACTGCACTTCCTTATTTAGTCCATGATTTAGTCATGAAGAACATCGGGGCTGAGCCCCACCAGAGGTCAGAGAGTGAGGATGGGGGGGGGGGAGAACGACCAAGATGAAGACTGGACTGATCCTGAAGACCACCATCATTGGGGTATTGACTCCTCCCTCATTATCACTTTCTGTTTAAGGGTCCAAAGTTGGAGGATGTTATCACATTATTATCACCATGTAAAAGTCTGTGCTCCAATCACATCATCCGATATAAAATGTCCAGCTGGTAGGAAATGGGTGTAAAAGAAGTAAGGACTATGTAATGTACAACTTATTATACAGGATACAAAAGTTAGGACTCGGTACAGTATGGTATTAGACTGATGTAATGTACAACATAGAGTATACAGTGTAAGGGTCAGGACTCATAATATTGGTATTCAGTAATCAGTGGAAACTTAAATGTTTCCTGTAGACAAGTTGCAGAGATCCCACACCGCTGCCTCCCATCTCCTGAGACTGCACTCAGTGACTTGGGTCTGAGACTATACAGACATATCCCTCCACCCGGCACAGCCAGCAGACAACAGAGAAAGTAATCCTGGGAGAAACGTTCTGTCAGAGATCTTACTAGACCCGGGCGTGGGGCAGAAGACCCAAATCACATGTCCCAGGAGCCTAGGTCACATAATGCTGCCAGCTGAACCCCAGAACCTCCATAAATCCAGTCTAGATACATAAATTGTGTCTGCAGCACAGAGAAGGAAGATTATCCGAGAGAAATCCAGGAATACAGGACGGGGAACACAGCTCAGGAAAGTGACCAGGGGATTACAGGCTGATATCACCCAGTCCCCGCCCTACTCTGGACCAATCAGTGAGCAGTATGGGTGGAGGAATGGATTTAGTGTTCATGACCCACCTGTGCTGATCTCTGTAGGAGTGTCCTCCTCTATAAATGTCCCCGTTATTCCATCCTCCTCCATAGACTGCTGATCATCCCTCACATACGCCTCTTCTTCTTCTGCTTTCACCTCAAATTCTATATCGATTGGATCTCCACTCTAAATCAAGGAAATGAGAGAAAAATATCATCTGTAAAATATAAGATTTAATATTTTGACATCACATTAAAAATCCACACATTGTCTCCACAAGTCCATGTTCTAGATTCTCCATCCCACCAACCTTGTAATGGTGAGGGATGGTGTGACCTTCCTGTGTGGAATCCCGGGAATACAGAGGATGGGGACATCTCTCTGGTGGGTTCCTGGTATTAGGTGGCTCCATCATATCCTTATGTCCTTCTGAAAACTCCTCCATCACTCCATACTCCTCATCCTCCTCTTTATACTCTTCTTTAACATCAATATTATCATCCCCGAGGATTCCACTCTGAAAGATATAATAAAACATTCATTGTATCAAACATGCTGTGTATAAATCACAACTACCAATAATTGTCATCATCTACCTGATGATGGTGAGGGATGGTGTGACCTTCCTGTGTGGAATCCCGGGAATACAGAGGACGGGACATCTCTCTGGTGGGTTCCCATGACTGGATCCATCTGTAGGAAACACACACACTGACTGAATCCATTGTTTCTATGTGTTTTTATCAGATGATGGGGGATCTAGGTGGATCCTCCGTACTGCTCTCTCCTTTACAATAAAGTCTCCTCTTACCCGGTGATGTGAGGGGCGGCTGATTGTCCATCATGACGTCCTTGTAGAGATCCTTGTGTCCTTCTAAATACTCCCACTCCTCCATGGAGAAATAGACAGTGACACCCTGACACCTTATAGGAACCTGACACACACAAATGATACAGTCACCATCCAGACACATCCCTTGTCTGTTACTGGAGAATGTCCCAGAATTCCGGCACCGCTCACCTCTCCTGTCAGCAGCTCCATCATCTTCTTGGTGACTTCTAGAATCTTCTGCATGTTGTGTCTCTCAGGGTTTAGGGAGTCACATGGAGGCACTGTGATGGTCATATGATCACCTGACTTCAGAAGAGGAAATCTCTGTTGAGGAACCAATAGGAATATCATGTTAGAATCCCAGAATCCTCTTCACCTCTCCGGTCAGGTCTGTGTTTTATTAATAGAGATAAGAGTGATGTCATGTGACCTCCCAGAATCCTCCTCACCTCTCCGGTCAGGTCTGTGTTTTAATAATAGAGATAAGAACGATGTCATGTGACCTCCCAGAATCCTCCTCACCTCTTCGGTCAGCAGGTAGATGATCTCCAGGGTGAGGTTTAGTATCTTCTCAGTCATGTGACTCCGGTCCTCCTCCATCCTCATTGGTGCCATCATGTGATCTATACAGGTCTCCTTGTAGACGGATAACTTTGGGAACTGAAAGTAAGAATGATTTGGATGGTATTGGTCACACAATAATAGAGTCAGGGATCGCGGCTCCAGGGTCGCGGCTTCTCCCTTCGCGCATGCGCATTGGCGGCAGATCACGCCGGGACACAGGCACTAGGTCCCGGCGAGCCGCGGCTGACAGGACTTTGCGCATGCGCAGTAGGAGCTGCGGGCGCACCTCAGGCGTCCAATGACAGCTGGGGGCGCGTCCTGGCTGGCCAATGACAGTGCAGGGCGCACTATTTAAAAATGCCCTGCACTGTCACAGATTGCCGCAAGGTCTATCTGTGATCCTGAGTTCCTGCATCTGTTCTAGTGACCCTGATTGACCCTGACTACGCTGCCTTCTCCTGTGATTGACCCGGATTGCCCTGACTATGCTGCCTTCTCCTGTGATTGACTCGGATTGCCCTGACTACTCTACCTTCTCCTATTCTGACCCCCGGCTTGCCTGACCATTCTACGGACTGACTTACCCTGCTGATCCTGCTTGTGACCTGACTACTCTTTGCCCGCCGATTCGGTACCCCGCTTACCCCCACGGAACCACGGTCCATTACCACCCTGCTGGGGCCACCATCCTCTTCACATCTGGCTCTCCCGGTACCTGCATACGTCCCCGGAGGCTTCTTCAGCCACTGGTGGGCCTGCTCAGAGGTCGTGACCTGGCCCGGGTCTGTTCCAAGTCCATCCCCACCATCAGGGGCCCTGGTGAAAGCACAGCCCAGGCTTAGACCCCACGCTCTGGGAAGGTCTGTCAGTTGGCAGCCTGAGGCACCACCTGGCGGATCATAACAAATAGGATGTGGATGTGAGGGGGGAATAGGAGGGTTGCTGGACATTTAAAGTGTAACTAAAGACAAACCACTTGTTTCATTTTGGAGTAAGGGAGGGTTATAACCTCTGTCAGGTGTTTTTGCCATCTGTGTCCCATTGGGGAGATTTCCCTTCACTTCTTTTCCCATAGTCAAGACAAGAAATGAGAGGAATTCCCCCCAAAGTGAGGGAATTCTGGGTTGTCACCAGAACTAGTTTCCTCATTGGACAATTTACCCTCTATTAGTGTTCTGATGTCAACCCAAAATTTGGGACTCTCTTTCACTTTTGGTTATAATGGTCACCGGGACAAATGGAGGCACAAACCACAATAAAAACTGACAGATGCTCTAATTCCTCTCTACTCCACTCAAAACTAAAAAAAAGTTTTACCTTTAGATATACCTTAAGAACTACCGCCCCCCATGGGAACATGTTTAGTTTAGACTGTTTAGACCCCAGAACTCTCTTGGTCTGCCGGATCAGAAATCCCTTTTTCTCTGTTGGGTTTGTTTTGTCTCTGAACTGGTTTTTGATGAGTTTTAGATCTGCAGACAAGGAATGATAAATGGTTACATAGTCGGTAAGGTTGACTAAAGACACTCGTCCCTCCAGTTCAGCCGCAGTGAGTGTATCTGCGTGTCTATGGCACCATCCTTTTCCATATCCCTTTACATTGTGTTCTCTAAGAAACACATCTAAAAGGTTTGTGAATGTATCTACACTCCCCACTGACACACCAACTGTGTTCACATCCTTCCACATCCTTACCGCTCTACCAATAAAGAACCTAACACACAGTTTAACCACTTGACCTCCAGAAGGTATTACCCCTTCATGACCAGGCCAATTTTTGCTGTTCAGCACTGCACTACTTTAACTGGAATTTGCTCGGTCATGCAACACTGAACCCAAATGCAATTTATATCATTTTTTCAACAAATGAAGCTTTCTTTTGGTGGTATTTGATCACTACTGGGTTTTTTATATGTATGTAATGCACTACATTGTTACTAATTGCAGATTGTTAAATGGCCACAAGATGTCTGTGCTCTGCAGTTCAGTTGACACAGGAAATTGTACAGGAACGCTGAGAATGCTGGGACTTGTATGCTGCAAGCAGGATTTCTTCATTCAGTTCAGCTGACATAGAACTACAGATCTCAATTAAGTGAGTAAAGGGGCTGGAGCATATAAAAGGGGAGGAGAAAAGAGAGGCAGGGTGCGTGTGAGAACAGAGTGCTGATCCAGGAGGTCTCAAGCTGGATCAGACTGAATCAGAGGATGGAGAAGGGAATTTCCAGATTGTTGATCGTACTGAGAGGCAGGATAGTCGATCCTGCATGTAGGTGTAATCGCCATTGGCATCGGCACCGCTATCTTCACGGGAAACAGAAACAGGGACATCATTTCACACCACTACTTTGAAGGACTGGTGAGAGAGTTCCTAACCCACACCACACCACCATGTGATACAGGTTCCATAGTTGTTGTTGCCGGCTACTTAAGTCCAGGATTCTTACAATACAGACTGCCACATAGAGACACAGTCTCTGTAGCCCAATCAGTGCTGCGGCCTATCTACACCAGAAGCCCATTGAAGTATCACACACAGTATATATCAGCCCTAATAGATTCTGCTTGCCTGATTGGCAGGAACTGGAAAAAAGTAAAATCATATTACCTCCGGCCTGTTCTACACAAAGTTCCACCAGCCAAGTCTCACACTAAAGGGACATACTTCTGATGAAGTCTGCTCTCACCCTCCTCAGTTTGAGTAACCACCCATACCCAAGTAAACTCCTAGATTGCTGCCTTTATTGAAGGGGAAACTCTGCTTGCTGTGTCCTCATCACCAGGGAAGGGACATTTTCTCATGAAGAAAAGGGATGACCCCTCCACTGTACACCAACGTAAAGAGCTCCACCAAAGCCAGCAGAAGAGTCTTTCCTGCATTGGGTGATGGGGTTTATATGGGACTTTCTGCTTGTCCAAACCCTCAGAGAGTTAAGCACTGGCTCTGTTTACTGGGAGCCCACAAGGGAGCGAGCCTAACATTCCTAATCTCCCCTTTTCTGCCTGTTTGGGGAACGTTCTCTGGGTAGGAGAGAAACAATTAAACTCTGAGTCCTGGAGGACAATTTGGTCTATTTAACGTGGTATTGTGCTGTATATGTTGTTTATTTCTCCTGAACGGTTCATAGTTTCTCACATCAGTCATCGATTCTTCATGTGTATATTGCTGCTAATCTGACTCTAATACAGACTGATTTACTATTCATTCAATGCTATGTGATTATTGTGTGTTATAGCCAGGGGGGACACCTGACCAAGGTATTACAATGGTGTCAGCAGGGGTTGTGCACCAGCCAGGGCTCAGAAGTGAACAGGGAACCCAAAATACTCAGCGACTCTTGAGGGGGTAGCGCTACATATAAATGAAAAAAGACCAAAATGAAAAAAAAAAAACAATATTTTTCTCATTTCTGTTATTAAACATATCTGATCAAATCACATTTCTTCATAAATTTAGGCCAAAATGTATTCCACTACATGTCTTTGGAAAACAATCCCCAGTAAGTGTATATTAATTGCTTTTTGTGAAAGTTATAGAGTCTACAAACTACGGGATATATACTAGAATCTACGCAGCTTTTAAGCAGCTCTGACTTTCCTACTGCCTATCACATTTCTTGAGGTGCTAAAATGCCAGGACAGTACACACAAGAGTAGATGATGCTTGGAGTAAACTTCCAGCAGAAGTAGTGAGCCAGTCAGCAGTAAATAGCTTCAAAAACATGCTCTATACAGACAAAACGTTACCAAACAAAACCCCCACCCACCTCCCCCCAAAAGAACTCGGTGGACCGCACAGTTTTTTCTGCCTTCACTTTTCTATGTTTCTAAATGACCTCCTTTTTGGAAAGTAAACAGTCTGAGGTATTTGCTGGGAGGCATGTTGAATCCATGGAAGATTTTATTTTTTGCCACAAGTATTTGGGATATGACAAAAATTTTATTTTTTCTTTACACAAAGCTGTCATTTTAATTAGATATTTCTCACACATGCCATGGGTATTTGTGGAATTACACCCCAAAACAGCTACAGCCTATCCACGTACAGGGCCCAAAATCCAATCAGCACCTTCAGGCTTTCAAGGGGCATTAACCATTAGCCGCCCGGCCAATGGCCGTTTGGCGGCTTCAAAAGTGTTGCTGCATTCCGGGTGCAGGCCATTTGGCGTGCTCCCACACATGCGCAGTTTGCGCTACTAATGCAGAGCGGCGCAGCAGCGCGATCTGTCACCGGCCGTGCACCTCGGACACGGCCGATGACAGATCCGAGTACCGGCTCCCGTTGCTGGTACCATGTGACCTGCTGTGACCAATCACAGCAGGTCACATGACAGTTGTATACAATGGATGACTTCATTCATGCCATCCATTGTATACTAGTGCCTAGCTGTGAATGGTCACAGCTAATCACATGCACATGTCATGTGATTAGCTGTGACCAAATCACAGCTAAGCACAAAAAAAAAAAAAAAAAAAAAAAAAAAAAAAAAAGCTGAATGAATCGATTTCATTCAGGTAAATGCTTGCTTATAGTAAAGTAATTCTTTGCTATAAGCAAATTGTGTAAAAAAAAAAAAAAAAAAAAAATACTGATCACTTCCCCAAAGTAGTACAATGTTACTATGGTAACATTGTACTACTTTGGTCATAGTAAAATATGAAAAAAAAAATCTTAAAAAAAATTTAAAAAAAAAAATGTAATAAAAAATTAAAAATAATAAAAAAATAAA